TAAGTTGGATTTTTAAAACTCCTGGAACAAAATACATGATCTCCTTGACCTCTTTGACACATTAGAAATCTGATTTTGAAACCTCCCAAATGTTACTTCTTCCTGTTCTATAAAGTATATTTTATTTATAAAGTGATTCTCATTTAATTCACTTCTTGCCGGGCTTTCTGCTCATACTACTTTGTTCTGATTGTGGGTTGCTCGGCTGAGAGGAGATGTCTGTGCCAGATTAATATTAGCCAAATGATATTATATATTCATTAAATCATGCAACAACACGAGCTTCATGCAGTAAGTCTCATTGTTATATTTTGTTTTACAATACTGACATAATATTGTAATGTTTTCCATTTACCTTTTCATATTCACCAGACTGCAGAGAACTAAGTGTTGGTGTACCTCCGGGAAGTTTTGAGCGCCACTGAAATTTGCCAGAAGCCATTAAATTTGGGCTTTTAATGGCCAACATTACTCTCCATGGGGGCACCCCCCTGGACCCCGGCCCCCTGGTCTTTTTCCCACTGGTTACCTTCTCCATATGTCTGTGGACTGGTTTTAGGCTTTTCTTACAGTCCTGTATTTTATTATTCCTTTTGTCCGTCTGAACTTCTTAGAAATCCCATGTTTTTATTTTATTCTAGTGGCCTTTTATCCACCGTCTTCTGGTTCTTTTAAGATTTTAACTGTTTTTCAATTGACTCTCCTAATGACTTGATGTCATTGCCTAAATGAGTGTTGGCCCTCAGGGATTTCTTGACTATAAATACAGCTAGATGATGCAGACAGTGTAAACCACACGTTGAGCTTCCAGCAGTCAAACTCATGCTGAAGATCATTCAGGCAAAAATACATTTCAAGCAGAAAAAAATGCAACATAATGTGCTCGAGCAAACTTGTGTTATAACGTCACACATCAAAGTAATTTAAAATGCTTTAATATCCCTCTAAGCTGTACAAGCTACTGATGAAAGTGAATGAAACAAATACAAAAATCAGACTGTTTTTATCCAGTTTTCTAAACACATCAAACAAAACTGACTCCAATGTTGAAACCTACAAAATGACCTGAGTTTCAAAAGCTTAATATATAAGTATTTTGTAATTGTTATTTTCTGCGCATTCTTATGTTGCCAAAGCCGTCACATCTCTTGATTGTGGACCTCTTTGAGCTGATTGAGAGAGGGGAGGAGAGAGAGAGACCGACAAACACTTGTTTGCTGTATTTTTTTACATATCAATAGATTCTTTGGCTCCATACCGCTCTGATTGTCACCGTCGGTGCTGCAGCTTATAACGTCTAAAACTGTCATACATCTCAGCACCAAATGTATTTAAGGGAAGAATCAAGAGTAATTATAGTTAGAGCTAAGGTGAACTGACGATGACAACGTGAGATAATAAGACTTAAACAGTGTATTCACACCTGGTGAGTTTTCTTCTTTTTGCTGCAGCTGCGTGATGTTAGTCTGTAGTAGCCTTTGTGTTTTTTGATAGGCTATAGTTTTCTCAGAGCCTGTTATGTATGACGATCTGCTGGCAGCAGACATGATTGTGATGGTTATATGAAGCTAACTCCGCCCCTTTCCTGCAGAAACTCTGTGTTGACTTGTTGAGTTGATAACCAGCTTAATGTAATCGTTCAGTGTGGTCTCTTATATCAGTGTTAGAGAAGCCAGATAACTGAAAGATAGCCTGGCTGTGTTACACTCACTTCTTAGTATTAGGCCCGCGATCTTACAGCGCTGTTCATGGAAAAGTTTTCCTTTATTAGCAGCTTGTGCTGTATTGGAACAAACATGCTACTTCAAGTTTAAAAAAAGCGACTGAGGTTTGGTGTGATTTGGTTGTACTCACATTCATGGTGTCCTCTCCTTCTAACCACCATGCTGTTGACAGAATCTTATTTCCGCATTAAAGCTGTAATTGCTTCATTAAAAAATAAGGAAGTGACTGTTGAGGTAACTACAGGGCAAACCAAAAAAACAAGAAGTGAGAAGTCACTATGAAGGATATTATCCTTTTAAATCTTCACGCTGTTTTGCAGTAAAACATGACTGAGCTGATTATCGATTGACGCAAGTGGAAAAACTTTATCTCAAACTGGGCCGTGATGGGAAGTGTTTGAGTGGGTTGAGGGGTGAGAGAAAGGAGCAGATGTAGAGGTCAGAACTGAGAAAGTTCCTGGAAGGAGGAGGGGGAGGAGAAAAAGTGGAGGGAGGGGAGGAAAATAAGGGTGAGTGAGTGAGACAGTACGACTGGAACACTAACCACAACCAGATGGGGAAGTGAGGGGGAGGGAGAGTGGAAAGAGCGCGAGCGGAGAGAAGGAGAGGGAAACTTTCACAGGGAGTGAAAGAGGAGGGGCGGGGACGCCAGAGAGGAGGAGGAGGAGGGACGGTCAGTGAGGAATTCTTTCCTAAACCGACGAGGCTTTTTTCCTTCCTCGTGTGGAATGGAGGGAGGTTTACGTAACGCAAGGATGCAATCATGGGCGGTTAGAGAAAGTAGTTCCTCTCTGACGGCTGAACGATCACAGATATGCTGCTCGCTCGCTCTCTTTCTCTCCTCTGTCTATTATTCTACATGTCCTTCTCTCCTCTCTCCTTTGTTGCTCCTCTTACTCTCGGGCAGATGACTCAGCGGTGACGGGGGTTTGTGTGGGGAGGTGACAGCAGATAACTTCATGTGGTTGTTGAGTCACATGATGAGCTGTGTGTCCTCTTTTAGTCCCAAAGATCCAGGAGCCGCCCTGCTTCACACCACATTCATATTTTCACGCCCAGGTGAGGGGGGGTCTGCTCTGTACAACCTCTCCTGTACTCTAAGTCAGCTGAAATATGAATCCTATTTTTTAAACCTAGGTTTTTTTATTCAACAATATCCTTGATCACTACAAGTTTTTGTTTTCACAGACACGCTCAGATTGTTTTTCTAAGTGTAGGCCAAGCTAACACAGTGAGTTTTTGTGGCGGTGGTGTTTAGTGTACAGTATGTGTGTGTGTGTGTGTGTGTGTGTGTGTGTATTTAAGCTGTGTGTATGAGACTGAAACTGAAACACATAGATCTGTCTTTTACTTCTGTCTGTGGGAGTTTTCAAATGAAACTTTATTGATATTTGGTTCAGATTGAACTCTTACAGTGTGAGTTCTCAGGTGGAGGATGATTATACTAACCACAAACAGCTGTTACATCACTCTCTAGCAATGTGTGGTTATTGGAAATTGTTCAAAACTTCTGGAGTGTAAATCAATATTTGGAACATGTTTCTACATCTCAGATTTATTTTGAAGTGTATGTTGAATCAGCTAAATGTATTAAACGACTGGTAGTTTTTGTTCTTTGTATGTATGACACACTTTGATCATTTCTTATGCCTAATTGAATTCCAAAGTGTTTAAGCTGCTCAGAATAGGTTCTATAAATGTGAAGTATTTGAAGCTACTCTGAATGAACTTACAACAAGAGCGTGACCAGAGGAGGGGCGGCATGGGCCCCCCCTTGAAGTTTCATTAGCCAACCAAGGTGCCACCCCAAAATCCTAAACCATGATTGGCTATTTAGCTTGACAGAGGCGGGACTTAAGTTAAAAAATAAACTACTCTGGTGGTGTTGCTAGAGGCCTGGAGTAGTTTTCTTTAAATGTTGCATATTTTCTCACGTTAGTACTTTAAATGGTGAAAAGATGCATGCAAACTCATAGACACTGTCTGACTTACAACCAACTAATTACAAATAAGATACCATGCATTTTTTAAGTACTTTAAATTGTAACTTGGATATCTTCTTTTTGAGTCCTTAAGAAGTAAGCTGTAAGATGTATATGCTGCCATTTTCTTCACTTAAAAGTCAACATGATAAGTGGAGACAGACATTTTTGCATATTTATTTTTGTGTGCGCACATGAATGCGACCTCTTTACAAGCCAGTGTCCCTGTTGGGCCACCCCAGTCCAAAAAAGCCTGCACACACCCCTGCATCAAAATAAGCAGTATTCTAAATAAAGACTCAGTGGATGAGTCATTATTCTGCAGAAATCAAAGGGTTAACAAACCCAAGAGGAAACCCAGCCAACAGCAGAAGTGTCCTCTGTAATAACCATTATCATAAGAAAGAAAGAATAATTAACTATTAATAAGGTCTTCAAAAGTCACCTTTTTCCTTTTAACTCATCAATAATAAATGTAACATCCATACACTGAACAGATGCTCTTACTGCCTGTTCATTGTTAACTGTGAGTCTTCAGGGTGATCCCATCGCCATAAAGAGTCAGACGTCAATACATGTTTCAACATCCACTCTGCTCTTCACAAACATTATCTCTGTGCCACTGAGGTTCTAAAAGGACCACGATGAAACCACACTGTGTTCTGAAACTGACAGCTCAATATTTTAGAGATTGAAATACTTATATATACCATGTGTTTCAAAATGATACTTTCTCTATTTAAATGATCAAAGGTATGAAAACACAAAAACACAGAGAGAGAGAGAGCACTGTCTAGATTGCACAAATACAATGACAACCTTTTGTACGGAAACATTGCCAATGTTTGTGCAATTAAGCATACAGGTGTTTGCCTGCAATATTTGATAATTAACAACAACATCTCATTAATTACTGCTAGGGCATCAACATTTCAAAAGTGCTTGCTTGCACATGTGTGCAATAGTTGAAAGGCAGCTGCATACAACACTCGGATTGTACAAATTGTAGCTCGAAGTTTCTCTCATAAACTAGTGTTTAAAGTGTTTTTTAAAAACTACCAGTTCCCAGAGAAAATCTGGGCAAAAATGAACATTTAAAGAAAGCACAAACACTGGAGGAGTGCAGAAAAGATAAGGTAGCTCTTCTCGGAAATTAAAGGTATTGTTCCTGGGCTGGTGGTTAAGGGTGGGGCCAGTGATCTTTAAAGGCCAGTGGTCAGATTAACTTAATGTCGACCCCTGTTCTAGGGTCCATAGGTGACAGACAGACAGGTGTTACAGGTGAGACACTTACTGATGTAGAAGGTGCTGGGGGCTTGGGCTCCATCAAAGTTCAGCTCCAGCAGGTTGCTGGTCTTTGGGTCGTGTCTCAGCCACAGGGCCACGCCCAGGATCACACCTCCTGTAAGCTGCAACAAACAACACAACACACACACAGGTCAGTCACCACAGTATGACCTACATCTGCTTTATGTCCTGTTTGTTTTCATCATTTCATAATTCACCTTCTACTGCCTGTAGCTTATGTTGGCATGATTTCAGAACAGAAGCCAAGTCTATTCCCGCTAGTCTATTCACAGACGATAGATATCATCTGTGAAAATTCACTTTAGTTAGACACATCCTGTAAATAATCAACCTTTCGTAACATTAGAAAACCAAACCCTATCCTGTCTGTTTTCATATCATTACGTGGACTCTCTCTTAGCTGAACTTTCCTGCTGCTTCCAGCTACCCAGTTTGATGACCTGTTAGCTCGGATCAGACTTGACTGCTCATCCATTCTACTCTTCAGGATGCTGTAATAACGACATCATGTTGCAGGTTGTTCAGAAGTCGGAGTTCAAGATTTGTCTAGATGAGACATGCAAACAACTTTAAAATATGTTTTTTGGGATGGAGTTTTTGATCCAATGTTTTAGATGCAAAGTCAGGATGTCAAAAGTATCTCAACGCCACAAGAATTTGACCAACATGCAAAAAGCACAATTACTGTTTGAGTTTTCATTTTTTAATCTTAATGTGCCATCTTAAGCCATTGAATCAGGCTCCAATATGTTTTTTTTTGTAAAAATTTTCAGACAGACAAAAAGAGAATAGATGAACATCTCTGACATAAAATGGGACTTCCCTTTCTGGAAGTTCTCTGAACAATCAACAAATCCAAATAACCCCCACCCAACAATGTTCTCCTCAAACAATATCCCCGTATATTTATCACCTAAAGACGACTAAATGTGTGTTTTACACATCAGTAGAGGCAGGAACAGAAAAAAAGAAAACAGGGAAGAAGAAAAGGTCAACAATCACTTGAAAGATCAAGAAATCTAAGACTTATTTAGTATTTCATTATAATTCACATGACTCTTAATCACAGCAGTACATACAGCAACAGTATGGCAGCTGTCAGTAGCGATTCCTGCTTCCTTATGAAGCGGTAGTTGACTAACAGCAGGTGTTTCCATGGCAACATACAACATGTCGTGTCTGTCTTGGCAGCTCTATCATGGCTGCGGCAATGACAAGACACGCCTCGTTATACAACTATCACATTACGGATTTTATCTGGCATAGATACTGTTGGAAATATTTTAGGTAACATAAGAAAATATATAACATAAGTTTTGTCTATTTTTTTATTAACTTATATGTTTTTATGTAAATATTCTACATATTGTACGTTTAAATCTAAAGTGATGAGGAGTCGTTTTCCACTGGTTCCCAATGTTTTCATGTTTTCTTCCTCATTACTTTGCAGCCTGAAAGCTACTTTTTGCAACCGGATTATTTCCATTGCCTCTATGATCCATTCTTTAAGAGTCGGTGCATTAAACTCAACAATCAGGCATAATTACTGTTTTTTGTGACCATCCATAGTGGTCTGGTTATTCTTTGAAGATAAACCACTAGAGTGAAAAAAAACTTTTAACTGTTTTCCTGCAGGAGGATTTATATTGTGTTAAGCGATGTCTACAACGTGCAGTTTCTGTACAGCTGTGTCGCTCTTTAAGTTCCGTCTGTTGAATGACCTTGTGAGGGAGAAAAAATGTGGAAAGATTTGCGCAGCCAGCCTGGTCTGTGTCGCCGTCTTTCCCAGCACAGCGTGCACTCAGCTTTCGATACACAATGAATGGGGACAGGTTTTTAATCATGTCAGGTCGCAGTGATAGTGGCTGCTGCCCTGCTGTAATGACGGCGCGTGTTTCAGTATTTTATACTGGTATATTGGTTGCACCGGTGTATAAGACGCAGCCAACTTTTAACACGAAAAAATAGGTACTAAAAGTGCGTCTTATACACCGGATTTTATGGTAGTAGTCGTAGTAAACATGTTTGTGGAGTGAGTGGAATAACTTAGTCAGTACGGGTCATAACTTGTTTGTGATCCCAGACCAAATCTTTCACTTTGCAGCAGTCCCACAGCAGATGAAGTGCGGTTCCTTCATCAGAACTACATTTAATACAATTACTATCAGTCCTAATGCCCATTTGACACAGTAGTGTTGGGGTATTGTATATTCTGTTATGAATCTTAAATTGCCTTAGCTTGTTATTTTACATTGGAACATTTGCCTTGTGTTATTCCATGAATCATTACGTGAAATATCATCACATCATTTCTTGTTAGAGTTGAGAATTTGAACTTGTGTAAATGTATTTTTGGGTTGACTTTCAATATAGCGTCTGAAATAACGCCACACAGAAGTTTCACTTTGCGCCTTAATGTTACAGATAGAGCACATCCGTCTTGTCCTAGTCATTGCAAAGTCAGCCTCAGCTCAGCTGAAATGGCAAAATCTTCCACTGAAGGAAAAGTTCCACATTTTGGAAAATATGTTCATTTGTTTTCCTGGCTGAAGTTTGATGATCAGCGTCTGCAGCTGGCGAACGTAGCTCGGCCCATATACTGGAGTCTGAGGGACACAGCTCTGCATGAAAGTACACACTGCACTGTGGAACCGTGTTAGTCTGCCTGTTTTTCATTCACAGTAGCCTTCCTCAGCCCTTCGTTTAGTCCACTCCAGGACAAAGAAATGCTAAATATATCCACAGTTCCCATAAACCTGAGCAGACACACAGGAACCAGCTTCACCCTTCGCAGCAGAAATTAAATAAAAGTCAGATGGAAGAAAAATACCATGCTTTTAAAGAGAAAGAAGAAAAAAATCCACAGCCCTGTTTGCTGCAGAGTCACACCTGACACCTCTACCGTCCTCCACACTTCAATCTGTTTGCTCCGTCTGTGGGGCCGAAAACATACTGGACCTAAACACAACAGAATGAACTAATCAAACTATATTTATGGGATAAAACGTGTTTTATGAAATAATGAATGTCCAGTATGAACGAGGCAGGTGTGACGACAAATAAGTTAGACTTTTGAATTTTGACTTTTGAATTTCAAGAGACAAGTTTTAAAATAATGAATGTTTTCTTTTGTTTTTTAATCACAACATTTCTAACTTATTCAAGATGCTTACAGACTACTGTCTACTACTAAATCATATTATTAGTCCATAAAGCACTCAATGGTTCAGCTCCTGAGTACATTTCTGACCTGCTCACATATTACAACCCGAGCCGGACCCTCAGGTCATCAGGTGGAGGTCTTTTAGCCATACCCAGAATTAGATCAAAGTCCGGAGAGGGGGTCCTTTAGTTACTGTGGTCCTTCTCTGTGGAGCAAACTAGCTGCTGACCTGAGGTCCATCACAACCTTATTTTAAACATTTACATTGTTACAGTTGTACTTTTATAGGGGTCTAACGACTCACAGAGGTCACAGTTCGGTTTGTACCTCAGTTTTGGGATCACCGTTTCACGGTACAAGTAAAAGTCCAGGTGAATGCATATTTCTAGGTTTCTCTAATATATCATGAACTGACAGTAGAGATAGTAAGTGTTTTCTATCTAGTGTTAGAACTTCTGTTGTTGGTTAGACCTGTAGTGGATTAAAAAAAAAAGAGGAAATCAAAAGAAAATGATAGGATAATATTAAATACATACAATGTGAAATATAAGATTCAATAAACTACATGCCTTTAGGAGCGATGTAACATATTAATGATTCATGAAGTGTGCGGTCACATAGTTGTGCTCAATAACTGCTTGTGTTTGTCGATAAGTAACCACAGACTGGTTTATGTGAGCAGGGGATGAGTATGAGCTGATAGCCTCTAAACCTCAGGAATCTTGACTTAAAGTATTAAGAATGAATATGTAATATCAAAATGTAATGTATCATTAAGCATCCATGACAATCGGAGTGAAAATAAACATTTGTTACTGTAAGAAAACTTTCTGATTGACACGTCAATGTGTCGGCCTGCTCTGCCTCAATCTGTCACTCTCTGCATTAGTCGTATCCTCATTCTCTGCGTCATCTGTTAGTTCTGTTCATGTGAGAGCCTGCCATGCTGCTGCTGCTTCAGACTGTACTAGTCGATGCACTTAAAAACAAAAGTGAACAACAAAAAAAAAAGAAACTCATGTTCCAATGTGATTGTTCACTTTAAACTACAGTAATGATGACTAATCGAATATTTGTAAATCATGACCCATCCCTGAATAAATATCCAAAAGTAGCCACAAGCTTTAAAAAAAAGAATCCTTCAGATCTTCAGTCCTTTTTTTAAACCATCATGAAAACAAGATACTCGTGATTAAACGATTACTGTGCCGCGTTGTCTCTTTTGTCCACAGGTTTTATCACGTGTGCTAAAAGTTTCAAAGAGTTTGTTGTTATATTTTGGACACAAGAGTACAATACCACTACCTTAAACATTTTGGTAATTTATTTGTATCTATTCATTTAATATGTATCTATTTTTTACTTACTGTATTTATTTCCATGTATGAATGTAAAATGTCCCGTCGGTGTGAATGTGAGTGTGACTGGCTAACAGTCTCACCCAATGACTGGTGGGATCGCCTCCAGCCCCCCCGCGACCACAAACAGAAAAAGCGGTATAGATAATGGATGGATGGATTTTCCTTATTGCTGGTTTCTCAAAGTGTTCAGAATATTAAAGTTTAACGAGTGTTAAAGTTCAATAAATGAATGAGATCCAGATGTTGTCAAGTCAATGAATAAATCTGCAATATAAATTTAATTAAACATACTTTTACACCAGAGGATATGTGAGGATAAAAAGGACAACACCACAGGAGGAAACAATTGATTGAACTTCCCAAACAGTGTTAGTGGACCCTCAGCAAGCACCAGGACTGTAAGTGTGACTCCCCAGCAGCAAACTGTCATCTCAGCATTTTCCAGCACTGTGCACTGTGCTCATGATTGAGAAATGTTCCTCTGTTCAAGTATAGGTGTCGTGTTCTGACGATAAAGGTTAAACCACAATTAACCATCCAGTTTCTTCAACTTTATACTGAGGAGCAAAAAGCTGCC